AAGGATGAAAGTTCAGTAAAGACTACCTTAAACGAGACTTCCGGTACCACAATAACTACCGCGAAGAAGAAACGTCAGGCAAAGAGGCCTCACCCCAAGGCCGAGGAAAAGTCTGCAGAGGCCAGACAGGAGAGAAGAAAACAAGGTATTTCAGAGATCCCTAAAAAGAAACTAAGTATTTCGGGAGGTGGGGACTATCCCATCGAAAAAGCAGTAGTCAAGCTGGAGACCGGGTTCGATAATGTTGCAATAAATTGGGAGAAGGCAAGTTATAGGTCAGGTTTAACATACTTCCAACTTCATGCTATTTCTGTTTATACGATGTCATTCATGCCAGTGGGTGGGCTGGGCAATGAAGCTGCCACAACCATTGGCTTCTTCTTCTTCTTCCTCCTCCTCCTATTACTACTACTAATACTGCTACTACTTCAACTACTAATAATACTACGACTGATACTGCGATTACTGTTCCGGCTGTTCCTATTGCAATTGCCATCACCACTACTAATACGCATACGCTACTGGTCCTGTTGCTTCTACAGCACTACCACAACTACTGTCACTACTAATGATAGTGCAACTCATACAGTACTACTGCTCCTGCTGCTGCTGTTATTACTACCGACAGTTCGATCATCGATTTCGATTATGCCCCACAGCAGGGTGGTGCAGGCATTCAATCGTGAAGGCATTCACGTTGACAATTCCCGTCAGTAAATGCTCCAAACACTACGTCCCTGGAGAGGTCGTCGTCCCCTGAAATTTATTGGTAACAGACTCAAGTCAGTATACCCTGAAAGCAAGCAACAGACCGTGAAGCCATGAGTATGTCCGAGGTCAACTCACTGCACAGCGAGCCATGTTCCAGTTTGTCTTCCCCGGAGCCATTGCATCGTGGAAGTGCACTCAAGTAAATGCTTACTTGAGTGCACTTCATTTCTACTGCCCACGTTCTTCTTTGTACCTTGTCCACTCTGGAGCGCAAATTTGGCCAGTCTCTTGAGCAGACATTGGTATTTGACCTTCGTGAACGGCGAGGTCTACCATGTGCTCTGCTGCATGGCGGGCGCAGGGACAAGGACTTGTACGTAAATTAGATTATACACATAGTACACTTACGCGGCACCCACCGCACTCCCTCCTCTATTTCCAGCCTGAGTCTAGTGTCATGACATGGTCAAGAAGACCGCGGTGATCGATAAATATAAGCAGACAACTTACGCATGCCGTACGCGCTTGAGCTGCAAATGTCAGATCAGGGTCAGAACGGTCCTGATCACAACTTAAAAGTGGTGCAATAGATGCCCCACTGAGAAGGAACCACTTCAGCCTAACTCTGGATCCTGAGGGGAGAATGGGGTATCCTTTCAGTTGGTTGTCATATAAGTCATGGCTTTTAGCGTAAAAAAGTGGATTAAAAGCGTTTCGGAGGGTTTATAATAAGCAATATGCATTAAACGCCGTGACGTTAGAGTCTTCAGAGTTATCCACGCTCTCTTTTGTTTTCTCCCAATTATTGGTCCCCTGTCCGAGTCGGCCATTCATGGGAATCTGTGGCTGAGGTGGCGTGAGACTGTACCTAGGCGTGTTGCGACGCTGCTGATGGATGGCATTTTGTATTTGTGTTCAGCCCGATTAACGCCTGTCATGCCCTAATCCGACCCTCGCATGTGCTACGTGGCCTGTTATAGGGGGCAAACCGGCTGAATCACGACTCGCACGTATGCTGAACACTTTCGCGTCCAAGTCAAAGATGAACTTATTGAAATCATTTCAGTCGTAGAATTAGGTATCATCAAGTGGTCAGTATTCTCTTACGACCTGAGGCATTTTAAGTCGCTGTAGAGAGACGAATTTAAGTAGCGAAGTGCTGGCGCCGAAGCCCCGAGCGAAGGACGCGTGTTTTGCGACAATAGAAAAACTGGGCTGTCCCATCTTGCACCGCCAGTCTGGTGTTCTGGCTGAACACCTGCCCAGCCTCGACGTTCTGCTAAATCAAGCAAATCAGGTAAATCTGCTGTGATATTCCATCAGCATGCTGTTCGTCTTGAAACAAGTGTCAGCGAGCGCAGTCTCCTTGACGTCGGTGTTGCGTAACTCTTAGTGCGCGACTCTCGTTTTAAACATATTTGTCTGGGAAACGTTGCAACACCACTTCTACTGCCCCCTTCATAGGGCTGAGGCGTGTTACATTGGAGGTTTGCATGGTAAGGCCTTACGAAGGCGACTGCATAAGCATTATAAAAACATGCTGTGTCGAGACGTCACATTCTGTCAGTGCTTTTTCGAAAATCCAGAATGCGATGTAACTTAATGGCTATGGTGGAAAACGCTGTCCAAACAGATGCCGATGGTATAAAAAATCTATTGGGAACGTCTACATCCTCAAGAACACGAAATCTGATTGAAAAGTACGTTCATGCCTCCCGCGCTACATGCGATGAATGCGCTGTGGACAGCGCCCTCCATTGTCTGCGACCACGATACTCCCTTAGAATCTGATTGGTCTATGGCTGCGAGCGTTTATTTTACTCTTCTAGAACCTTCATTTTGACGTGGATTTGACAGGATACTAGCCAACCTGAACGAGATGCTTTATGTAACGGAGTTTGTCAGTGAGAATGACTTGCAAGCTTCGATATAGGTTCCTGTGGCCGACCGTTTTCAGTTTCTCTACCGTATTGGTGATTTGCACGTATACAGTTCGTGTGATTTCTGAGTACCAGGCAGGAGTATAACAAATTCATTCTCGTAGCAACATAGTGATGTTCATAGGTGCAGCGGATTCAGTCCGCATGATCCACTAATGCTACACACAGTGGAAGGCTGGGATCGCACATCCAGGTGCAGAGGCATGCGGCACCAGCTACCAGCGCCCGATCCCCACACCTGGTTTTCTTGAATCTCTGTTAATCTCGGGCTCATGTGAGTGAGAGAGGAGAGAGTACAGTAGGTGCTGCACAAGCTTACCAGCATTATCAATTAATTAATGTGTAAGGCCTTTTGCCTGCGGCCACAAGACTGCGGGGCAAAGATGGGCATCGTCGAACGATCAACTTGTGCAAAGTCGTGTAGCGTCTGATTTGCCCTCCAAATCGTAGGTTTGAATGGAGGCAGCGACTTCGAGCCGAGGCTATATACCATGACCAACTTCGGTGATACGTACGCCCTACGATGCGAAGGAGAATGAGCTACGGAGCACATTGACTAAATTTTGGTTCCCAGTGAACGGATTGCCATTACTCTGGGCCGTTTCTGCCTGACCAAGTTTTGTTACGATTGAGAGCTGTTGTCTTTACATCATGCTTCTAGAAGCCCAAACAGTATGTTGGGTTAAAAGGGAGAACTTCAGCCCCAAAAAATTGTTTAACTGATTCCTCCGTACACTTTTGTTTGGGTTCCTCTGCTAGACTCTTTCTGCAACACACGCCCCAAATCCAATGCGTTGGTTCCAGACCCTGGATGGCATGGAATTTGACGCTGGAAAATCAGTCAACTCAGATGGAGACAACAAACAGAAGGACATCGAGGGTTACGGTCTGGGAAAGCGCTTTTCTTGCCTGACAGGTGGTCTTGAGAAGCTGGTTAATCTACTGGATGCTACAGCGGAAAACGACCAACCCAAGGCGGAACTTCTCCTCGACAGTATGGTGAAACAGCATGTCCTGGACATGCCCCTGGTAGTGGGCAACCCGGAGCGCATCCGAGAACTGTACAAGAGCACCGTACTTTCGGATCCCATGCTTTACAAAATGGTGATGCGTCGACGCAATATCCTACCGCAGGATTTGCAAAATTTTGTCAACGAAATTCTTGAGATCACGGAGGCCTCAGACGAAATGCTTGCCGCCCTCCAACCCTCCGCAGGTCATCGCAAATTGATCACCGATGCGGCGAAGGAAATGTTCGCTTCTGGCTTCCTCTCTGGCGGGCCTAAATGCCCATTTGAGAACCCCGCTACGAAGAAGCATATAGTCCCAGTAAAGCTCGACTCAGCAGTGAGTGATGACGACACAGAAAAAATGCAACCTTCTGAGGCTGACCCCGAAAAAGGAGAGGAAGGTGAGACATCGAGGATAATGAATTATACTAACGATGTTGACTACGAGAAGGCCTTCAACACCTCTATTCGCAATCCTAGCCAGGACGTACTGGAAGAAGTGGCCTACTTCCTCCCGGAGTTTGCCTTCCATATTAGACCGCTTTTTGAACTGAAATGGGAAAAGATCGGCACTGACACTTATCCGGAAGGGCTGCTGCCTGAACTGGCAGAATTGCGTGATCTGCGCCGCAACCGGTTAAATATAGTGAAGTCTGGAGGGATACTAAGCCACAAGCAAGAAGAGGAGGACGCTGAAAAGACCAGACGACTATGCAAAAATCTAGTGTCGCGACTGTGTAAGCTATTACGTGGGCCAGCAGGTGTGCTACCAGGAAGTGGTGCCTGGACAGCTTTACTGGCAGCTCTCCACGGTATCATGATGTGGCCGCCGCTGGGAGACTGCCTTGTGCGCAAAATGAACCACTGGCTACCCGTACTCCTTCTAACCCTCTTTAATCGCTACCCCTCGGTGCGGGAAGAGGGCTGCTGTGTATTGGCCTTCCTGGTCTCCTGTTACCCCCTCTTTACACGTCTGCACTATCATTCACGACAGCTCCTGGTCTCCAATGTTACCTTTGCTCTGTTAGACGCCATGGACAAGAATAAGGACTCCTACGCCTACTTCCACGGCGTCCTGGGCTACATGCTTCACTCTATTCCCTGTGCAGCGCCAATGGAATGCATCGTGCTCTGGGCACCACAGGTCATGAAGCGGAAAAACAGTTTGGTTGCGCGGGACTGGCCTCGGTTCATCTACTATATGGCCAAACAGTGGCCGGCGCACTGTCTGCGACGCAGTGTCATTGTCCAGCGTCGGCTTCTGCGCGTGCTGGAGTTAGGGCTCAGTAAGCCGCGGTCAAAATACAGTGCCAGACTCGCGCTCGGTTACTACCAGCGCAGGACGCGTGAGTTGAGCTTTGTGGCCACTTGTTGGCGTACTGCCGGAGAGGGCTAAGTCGCTGATTGGCGGGTGAGCCCTCTCCCCCTTTGTATCACACCAGCTAAATTAATCACCCAGTCGATATGAGGTTGATTCTGTAATGAACACGCACATATGTACGGTAAGTGGCTGAACTTGGATTTCAGTGTCTCTTCTTACTGTGTGTGTAACCGTATACAAAATACGCAATCGCCTTTTGCTCTTCTTCTACGTGGGGTCAGGATAAAAATGTTTCAAACATTTTCGTTGTCACTAAGCTAGGCCAAATCGTATTCTGGCTGGGTGTACTTGATTTTTTGCTAGGAGAGGAGGCCTCCTTCATCCCCACTATTGCAGGCGGTCTTACGCCAAAATAAAGGAAGGATAAATGGTATCGAATCATTACCCAAACGCTATGTTGTAACGGTGACAAACCGAGATATCACCGTCTGATTACGCCCTGTCTGAATCGTCAAGGAAGAACACGAGAACACAGGCGTAAAGGTAGAAGCCATCCGAATAAGCGTTTTATTATCTACAGAACCCGGAGTTGTTCTTGCGGGTGGCAATGGCTGCAGGCGAAGTGCGGACTAATGTGGACTGCGTCCACTCACGCCTGAGGATGACTGTAAATCTCAGCCAGTCCCTGCGTGAGATGTGACAGTTGCTTGTAAGTGATTGTAAAGCGAGTTTAAGTCGGTAGTTCTTTGGAAAACAGTGGTTTATTGTGTAAATTTTCGACGCTGGCACACCAGGTCGTCGTCAGACGGATGGAAATTGCATAAAACAGTTAATTCAAAATGATGGCTGACAGAAGCTTATATAGTGGGTAAGTTAATAGTCCATAAGCGTCACCCACATGTGATTGTGCGGTCAGTGGGGAAGATTAGTTGTCACCTGCATGTCATTATGCGGTCCGTCGGGAACTATTTGTCGACCGCAATTAATCGTGCGGTCGGTGGTGGCTGGTTTTCGCTTCCTC